TATATATATATGATTAAATACAGAGACAGATAACTAATTACATAGATGGATAACTAAATACATAGACAGATAGTTATATAACGTTAAATGCATAGGTCGAGAATTAGTTACTGGGAATCATATTTAAATACTTAGATAGGTAATTAAACAAAAAAGTAAGTGCATAGGCGGACAGGCAAATAGACAAACAGATAGCTGAACCGAAAATATATGAGACACGTGAAGATATAAGAAATAAAGGATACTAAAAAATAGCACAGGACGAAGAAACATCCAATATTTTGGACAGATGGCGGGCATAAGGAAACCCAAGATGAAGGTAAAGAGTACTTAAGTAAGAGTAATTAAACTCAGCTAATGACAAGAGGCGGCAGAGAAGACTAGATGAGAAACAATGAGATATCACACGTATTTTCAAGAAGAACGATGAATTTAAGAAGAATGATTGTTCGAGAAGAATGCGCCGAGTTGTTTTTAACCATCCTAAAAAGATCTAAAAAGCTAATCCTACACATTCTTCTCTAATATCCCGTTTCTTACTTTTTTTTTTTGCGAAAAACGTGAGAGTTTTTTGGTGAGAATGATTGCTCTCGTGAGAAAACGATTGCCTCTCGTGAGAACGATCTTTGATTGAAATGTGCAAGAGAACGATGCCGTGTCACTTCACAGGAGGGGGAGCTTGATCATGATCATATTTTTTTGGGTTAAAACATGTCCTCGAACATGGCCCATGAGACTTGTAACATGCATTTTCCCAGTGAGAATGAATGCGTAATCACCGCGTAGAAGGACAAGCAAAAAAAAGCAAAAAAGCAGAAAAGGCAACAAACAGAAGAGCAGAAAAACACAGAAAACGAACAAAACGGAAGAACACAGAAAAGCAGAGCAGCAGAAAGTAGAACAAACAGAAGCAAACCAGGAACGCAGAAAGGCCAAGAACAGAAAAGGAGCCAAGCAGAAAAGGCAGAAAAGCAAAGAAAGCAAAGAAGCAGGACCCCCCCGAAAAACCTATTGTAAATCTCACCCAGGCACATATCCAAAAATCGATGGCCATCTTTCCTCTAATATACGAGAGCCTTACGATAGCAAACAGCAGGGTGGTTTTGTCAAAGGCCAAGTCTCCAGTTTCACCTTCAGATGCTGCAATTCGAGCCAGTTGATGCGCTTGAACAAAGCCTCAGCTCACATTCTAGGTAGAGAACTCGCCCCGTGAGATGACAAAGCAACAAGAAATGCGGAACGCAAATGGGCCCCTGCGTGAAAGACATCGGGGCGTTCAACAAGATTGCAATTTCGATAAATGCTGGCCAAACAAAAAGCATCAAAGTCCCAATGTCAAAACCAGGCAAAAGTGGGTCTTGTAGGCTTGTGGGTGCATTATCTTGTTGGTGCGGCAACTAACCCTCCCACTTGAAGGGCGTAACGGGCAGCTTAACGAAGGACATATAATGCAATATTATTCTCCTAACATTTCCTAGCAGCATCCACAACTGCTGCCAAAGGGCCCGTCGTCGGTGCATTCTTTCTTCGTGCACTTCGAGCATCAAATCGGCACTCCTGTGGCCAAGGTCGGAGGAACTAAAGCACCTGCTAAGCACTCGCGCTATGTGCGCAACAATCGTAAGTGGAGAATCAGATCTACTTTTAATCAACCAAAGCACCAGCCAATGAACATATATTCAGTGGATAAGCATCTTCGAACATGTTCTCAGACATGTTCTGCCTTCCCACTCCGCTATTTTCCACGCTACAATTTTGAAAGAGTTGCCGTTACATGTGGCCCCTGGTTGTCATCATTACTCAATTGCGTTCCATCTGCGTCAAGCAGGCTCCGTCCCGTTGACTTTCACTCTCTCCAATCATGCCACTTCAAGAAACCCAAGGCTCATACAGCCAACTTTCGAACTTCTATCATCACCCACAAACAAGTTTTAAATCATACAGTACGGCGTATGATTTTAGAATATCCCTATCGGTAATTGGTGGGGGGGTGGGACCCCTGGTTTATTTTTTTAATTAAATGGGGTCCCCTGCAGTATGTTTTTTTCCAAAATTCTTCAGTCAAACATACCCTCCGTTTATTTTTAACATAAGAAATTAATCCAGCACAATCCAGTTCAGGTCCCACCCAGCATCCCCCAGCTAAAAATTAAACAAGCTACTCGGCAGTACCTGGTTTAATTTTACAGGATCATTGGGTTGATTTTGTTTTGCCAAGACCAAATATTAAACCACCTGGTTCTACACATGTCAGTGAGACTTGGTGTAAAAACAGTTGCGCCCACCATTTTTCCCCCCAGGTGCGTGAACCAACTCAACTTTCTCAAAATTAAACCCCATGGTTTAATTTCAGCTGTTTTAGCTCATTGTGCTGCCTCGTGTTCCGCCTCGGGATACTGCAGCCATGGTTCCTGACACGTGTCCTAGCACAGCTCCGTGAAGACGATCCGGCGTGGACAGCAAGGTTCTTGCACAGTTGGGAACAGCATTGCTGCAGCCCAAATGCTCCATCTCCAGCAGAGCAAGTCCATGGGAAAGGCGCTGCGGGACCATGGTAAACTGTTTCTATCTGTTTCGGGCCCCTTGCGTGATCCCAGATCAGGTCAGAATAATTAATCAAGGGGTGGGTGAGTCCATACGTACTGAAATTCATTCATCAGGACACCTTTGGCACCATAATATTCATGGGATTTATGGTCACCAGAATAATTAAACAAGGGGTGGGTGAGTCCACATGTACTGGGCATTCAAGATCAGTTCTTCCATTGGGGCACCCCCAACACCATAATATCATACAATATCCATGGCATTGATGGTCACCAGAATAATTAAACAAGGGGTGGATAAGTCCACATGTTCTTGGCATTCATAGAGATTCATGTATTGGGATACCTTTGGTGTTATCATGATTCATTGTTTTTTCTTGAATTTTCATCTTTGGTCATCGCAAAGGAAGGAACCTGATGGAATCTCATTGGACTTGCTACTTTGGAATTATTTTGACAATTATTTTGACACCTGTATCTCACCAATCTCTCTCCACCATGATCAACTTGCACTCCAATGAGATTCCATCAGGTTCCTTCCTTTGTGATGACCAAAGATGAGAATTCAAGAAAAAACAATGAATCATGATAACACCAAACAGTACGTATGGACTCACCCACCCCTTGATTAATTATTCTGACCTGATCTGGGATCACGCAAGGGGCCCGAAACAGATAGAAACAGTTTACCATGGTCCCGCAGCGCCTTTCCCATGGACTTGCTCTGCTGGAGATGGAGCATTTGGGCTGCAGCAATGCTGTTCCCAACTGTGCAAGAACCTTGCTGTCCACGCCGGATCGTCTTCACGGAGCTGTGCTAGGACACGTGTCAGGAACCATGGCTGCAGTATCCCGAGGCGGAACACGAGGCAGCACAATGAGCTAAAACAGCTGAAATTAAATCATGGGGTGGGTCACATCTCAAAATTAAACCAACTCAACTTTCTTCAGGATCTTAAGGAGGTGGGTGGACCCCCTGTTTTCGTAAGAATTTTTTAATTAAACCAAAAAAAATTAAACCAAACTCAGTGTCCACCTGGTTTAATTTAGCTAGTGCGAGGGATATATTTTAGAACCCTCCGCCCAAATACCTCGAAGCCTCGAAGTTGAAGGTCTTCAATCATGATACAGGAACCCAACGGACTACCACAATCTTCAGCCAAGCGGCTTTTCAAGTCTTTGACCTGATAGCACTTGCAGCCAGCTTGCCATCTCAGAAGCTCGGGTCTTGCTTTCCTATCCATGGCTTTCGCATGGCTTGTAGGACCGTTTGCATCCGTTTGCCCATTGATGGCAACGGCGAGGTGCGACTTCCCCTTTAACTAGACGGCAGTGCGGCCCGAAAGAAAAGCGGGAGGGAGTAGATCAAAAGAGGGTGGAAGAGAAGATATGAAGATAAATGATGATGGATGATGATGAATGATGATGATGGATGATGGATGAATTCAAGATGATGGATGATGAATGATGACTGAGGTTGCGGGTGCATTATGGTAAGTTAATGAGTGTATACTGAGTGATTATGAAGTTACTATATCGATCTATATCGTATATCTCCGTGTCCTCATGGCGTCTATTCAGATGCCTACGATGATGCAAGAGAATTACACAGAAGCTTTTGCACACAGAAGTCTTCGCGCAGAGGAGTATTGATACGCAGAAGCATTTACACAGAGACATTTTTACACACAGGAGCTTCTACACACAGAGGCGTTTACGCACAGAAGCTTTTACACAGAGAAGCCTTTACACAGAGGAGCTTTTGCACACAGACGCGTTTACGCAAAGCAGCTTTTACGCACAGAAGCGTTTACACAAAGAAGTCTTCACACAGAGGAGCTTTTACAGACAAACGCCTTCACACAAACAGAAGCTTTTACACAGAGACGTCTTTACACAAAGGAGCTTTTACACACAGACGCTTTTACACAGAGAAACTTTTACACGCAGAAGCTTTTACACACAGAAGCTTTTACACGCAGAAGCTTTTTACACACAAAGCGTTTACACGCAGACGCTTTTACACAGAGAAGCTTTTGCACAGAGAAGTCTTTACACAGAGGAAGCTTTTACACAGAGCTCAGAGACGTCTTTGCACAGAGAAGCTTTTACACACAGACGCGTTTACACGGAGGAGCTTTTACACACAGAAGCGTTTACGCACACAGAAGCTTTTACACAGAGAAGTCTGTACACGGGGGAGCTTATACACCAAGACGTGAGGACTTGAGTTAGCATGTTTATTGAAGGGCGTCTGTTGAATCCAGAAAACAATTGCTAAAATTCAGGAGCCATTTGCAAAACCAAACAAAACATGGAGAAACTATTTGGGACCAATTGCTTAAATTCAGGAACCTTTTGCGAGACCCAAGAGACACAACGGCAAATTTATGGGAAATCAATGAACGCATTCCCTGGCTTCAACCCATTTCGACCCTATGTCGTTGTCTCCGCCTCGTGCACCTTCTCCTGGGTCTCAAGCGAGCGTTTGAGGATGGCGTGCTCTGAGCGCAAGGTTTCCAGGTCCGCTTGCAGCCGGCCTTCTGCCAGCTTTCCTGGCAGCATTGTGGCGAACCAACTAAGATATTCGAGGCTCAAACTTGATGAAGTGATATGAAGTCCCCCTCTCTCAAATGCGGCCAGAGGAAAAACATGGAGAAACAGGGGGAAACACATACGCCTCGCAATGCCGTCATATTGCCATATTGTGTAAAGATCTTGAGAGCTTGCATTTAAGAGTGAAATATTGCAGTGGCAACGCCAACGAAGATGACAACATATGGATTCATGTGTTTCTGCGCGCGAATTGCGCATGGTTGCCCGCAATCGGATTGAGTTTCCTGAGTGGGGGCGCAGGAATCCAAGAATGTCCAAGCATGTCCAAGCATCTGCGAGCAGTGAGCTTCTCCAAAGCGTCTTGGTACCCATCATTCCGTCTTTGCTGGTCAAAGAGGTCTGCATGGTAGTCCTTGTCGGCTTTCCTGTCGCACTTGCACCACGTATTTAACGCTTGCGATGCCACACCAGGAATCAAAAAATCCAAAAACGGCACTCTGCAACAAGTCTAAGCCAAGGGGCTTCAAATTCGCATGAGTTTTGCTGAATTCGCTGATGTCAGAAATTACTATCCTCAGGTTGTGGCACTGCAGCATCCCCGCGCTCCACGCGCAATTGTCTATGCTTTCTTGGTAAAGATTTCTTTACCAGCAGTTTGCCTGGTGGAAAAGAATCGTTTATACAAGCACTTAGCACGCAGAAAGCCATTCCATATAAGGGTATACCAGTCGTCGTGCACAAGGCGGTGGCGTAAGTTTCAAAGATGGGAAGCCTATAAGAGAGGTAAGATGTTGCCATGCGTGGATGGCAGCGCGAACTGATGGACCGAAATGTGGCTGAGGCTCTGAGTCTCTCTCTCTCTCTCTCTATCCATCTAACCATCTAACCATCTATCCACCTATCCATCTAACCATCTATCCAGAATCTATCCATCTACCTGGCTGCCTATCCCTCTGTCTATCTATCTGTCTATGTATCTATTTATCTTTCTTTCTATCCATCCATCTATCTGACCATCTGTCTATCTATCTTTCTATTTGTCCATCTATCTGTCTATCTTTCTTTCTGTCTATCAATCTCTCTGACGATGTATGTACGTATGTATGTATGTATGTATGTATGTATGTATGTATGTATGTATGTATCAATGTATGCGCGCATGCACGCATGCATGCATGCATGCACGCATGCATGCATGTATGTATGTAATGTATGTATGTACCTGTATGAATGTATGAATGTGTGACTGTAAAAATGTATGAATGTATGAATGTCATGCATGCACGCATGCATTCATGCGTGCATGTATGTATGTATGCATGCATGTATGCATGCATGCATGAATGAATGAATGATTGAATGAATGAATGAATGAATGAGTGAGTGAGTGAGTGAATGAGTGAATGAATAAATGAGTGAATGAATGAATGTCATGCATGCATGCTTTCATGCGTGCATGGATGTATGTATGTATGTTTGTATCCATCTATCCATCTATCCATCTCTCTCTCTATCTCTCTATCGATCTACTTATCTATCTGCTTATCTATCCTATCTATCCTATCCATCCTATCTATCCTATCTATCCTATCTACCCTATCCATCTATCCATCCATCCATCTATCCATCCATTCAATCTGATCTAATCTAACCTAATCTAATCTTATCTAATCTATCTATCTGTCTATCTATCTATCTATCTATCTCTCTCTCTCTATCTAGCTGTCTATCTATCTAGCTGTCTATCTATCTAGCTGTCTATCTATCTAGCTATCTATCTACCTTATCTATCTCATCTATCTCATCTATCTCATCTATCTCATCTATCTCATCTATCTCATCTATCTCATCTATCTCATCTATCTTATCTATCTTATCTATCTTATCTATCTTATCTATCTTATCTATCTTATCTATCTTATCTATCTTATCTATCTTATCTATCTATCAATCAATCAATCAATCTATCTATCTTATCTTATCTAATCTAATCTAATCTATCTATCTATCTAGTTGACAACATCAAAAACGAAGCAGCTCTGCGAGAGGTCCTTCAAAGATGGGAAGTCGAGTGCAGAGCTGAAAAGGCCTTGTGCCAACGTGTTTTGAGATTTTTCCACCCCATCTGTCTAAAGTACTGCGCCTGCCACGAAAAAGTGAGGCCAAGTCATACGAAGTGATGCACCTGTCACTCGAAAGTTACTTTTCCCAATCTCCCTCCAGCTCAAGGGTACGCGTCTCCCTCAAGAAAACTGGTGTTGCCTCAGATTGACCATAATTATACGGTTGGGGTTAAATATGTACACTCGTACATATGATTACATATGTATAGACTGCCAGTCTTCTATTTTATCTCGTATGGTGCCAGAATTAATCAATAATTTGACTCGTTGGAACTGCAAGGGCTGCATTGGAAAATCCATCGGTCCCGTACAGTACAGATTCACCATTCCCTCGTTGCTGGCTCAGTGGCTCAGCGCCTCGTAGCTGGCTCAATTTTTTGACCACCCCAAAAAAACGAAAAAAACAACGCGAAAAAATTGAGCCAACTACATGCCCTTGAGCCAACTCGGTGTGCCGTCATCATCCCGGCTCGTTTTTTAGCTTTCACATTCGTTCGCCAGCTCAACGTGACGTAGCTGGCTCAATTTTTTCGAGTTTTTTTTCGTTTTTCTTTTTTCATTTTTTTCGTTCAAAAAAATTGAGCCAGCTCGATGCCATCGAGCTAGAGCGATGTGTTTGAGCTGGCGCGGTGTTGCTGAGGTAGCTCGTTCCACTTGAGCGAGCCTGCAAATTCTTCCCAATGTGTTCAATTGCCAGGTTCAGTCCCACATGATTCGTTTAATAGAGATAGTACCCCGGTTGCAGCCCAGAAATTTAGGAGCCACGTTTTAGGCCAAATCTGCTTAGACAGCGGCACAACATTAAAGTCAAAACGCATGACCACCTCTGAAATTGAGCCAGCTACATGTTTTGAGCTAACTCGAAAATGAGGAAGATCGTGGAGTGCTACATTCAAGTCACGCAAAATCAGCTTAGCAAACCTGAAAATCTGATGCTCTCAAATGCAACCATTCTCAAGAAATCGGCTCCCTGACCTCCAAACATGTCTGACTCATATGTCTCTTGTACTGCACCTGCCACGCGAAGTCATCGAAATGCATCCATCTTTGCAGATCCTCTTCAATCGTCCCACGTGTGCCATCATGTTTGCAGCTGCTAGCCATAATTTTTGCAACTGCTACATAACTCTCGCGTTTTGCTCACTTTTCGCAAGGTGCAGAATCCCCTGCGCCTGCCACACGAAATTGACGATTGAACACCCTCCTTGCCATTCCATGGGTGGGGTCAATGTGGTCCATTTTGTGGTGAACCAATCCTTGGCCCAAGAAAACGGCAATGGAACCAATTCTCCAGCCGACAAAATGGTATGGCCATAGACCCTGGGGACTTCATGGGCGACGAAATGGTAGTGCTTGTCAACTGTCTTGGATCTTTTAAATCCAGAACCAGATTGACATTTTCATCCGAAAATGTGCTTTCATGGTCTTACAGAAACCACAAAAAAGCCCAGAACCATTTTGTAGAGCCTCCACCTCACCAGGAAAACAGCCAAAACTTTTTTTTCTCGATGCCATTTTGTAGTGGAAAACCCTGTCCATCTATATGAATCTTCCTTTTCTGTCGAGGCTGGAAATTGCTTAATGCAATTAGTGCAAACAGACAAGGTAGACATGGCCAAGTGGCAATACCTTTAAGAAACAAAACGTGCTCTTGTCTCTTACTAAATGGTTGGGTTTGGCGCCCAAAAACGATCATGCCTTCAAAAAAAACAACTCAAACCCACTAATTGCGTGTGACCCCATTTTTCAATCTCATTGCCACTTGCCGCATAATGGTCACTCTATGGGGGGGTCAACCTCTACCATTGTGTGGTGGAAACGGCGGCAGGGATGCTTGAACGTCCAAAAGTGGTCCGAACATGTGGCGCTTTTGCCGTTTTGACTTCGAAATCTGCTTGGCGCCACAGCGGCGTGCACTTGTTCGACTTCTTACTTCCAAAAAGCGAATGCTTTTGACATTTTCACTTCGAAATGTGCTTCGCGCCACAACGGCGTACACTTTTTGAACATCTCAACTTCCAAAAGCGCTCCGACACTGAAGTGCTTGGCTCATTTTGACTTCCAAATGGGCTTCGCACCACAGTCACAGTCCCGCGCACTTTTTCGACATCTCATCGTCCAAACGTGCTCCGAGACCGCGGAGTTTTTGAGCTTTTCACTTCGAAGCGTGCCTCGTGCCACAATGGCGTGCAATTTTTGATCTCTCATCCGCCCAGATGCCTCCGAACCCGCCACTTTAGCGAGGCTACTTTTTGACCTTCCGGTGCCACAGTGTTTTGCGACTTTTCTGCCTTTTCGCACGCTTTGATCTGCTTGCTTCTTCCTTTCTCTTTGCTGATCCTCTTTCTTCTCACTCTTTCTCTTCTCTGACTTTTCCCACCTCTGCTTTTCCATCTGTCATATTGTCGGAAGTTTGACTGCTAAACTTCCTCCGGTAAGGCTCTATATTCTATAGGGCATGGCAGAAGAAGGATGAAAAACAGCTTGGAATGAAAAGGAGAGTTCAATGGTACAATCAAACCATACCTTCACAACTGCAATAACTTCTTTCAATCCAAATCTACGGTAAATGCGTGCAGTGGCTTGCAAAAGGCAAACTGGAAGTACGCCGTGCCACTGCAAGGTTTTCTTGACATTCTTGATGAATGTGCTTGCTTTGTGCGCTGTCCGATGAATGGAGTGCCTTAGCTGATGCAATCCATTCGGTGCAACCCATTCCGTTCGAAATGTTGGAAACGCGCAGAACGACCGCACTTGCTGATAAATCCTGTGTCATCCTATGAGGAGGTGGGAAGCGCTCGACGGAGCATTGACCACATGAAAACACATCTCATTCAAAAAGAAACACGAAATAAGGATGGTTTCGCGACAAACTGGGCCGAGCTTCTGCAAATCGTCTAGCTTCTTATTGACACCCCTTCTACCGACCTGGACATTGTTGCGGTGGATTGGGAGAAGCAATGGGCACCTTCTTTCATGGGCCCCAATGGAAAAATCAGAGTACAATATAGCACAATGCAGTTTCAAATTCCACTTCCGGCGCGCACAAAGTATTCATGATCATTTACGAATGAAAGAAAAACACTTGAAGTGATAAAGGTGCACAATAAAGAGTTCACAGATGCAGGTTGAAATTCCCCTGCCTGACAATGATATGCTGATGCAACATTTATTCTGGCTAACACAGACACAAACTTAAGGTAAGTCAAGAATTTGATGGGGGACATATATATTTACTGAGGCCCCAAGAACGCAAAAACAAACCAAAATCCAAAATTTGATTTCCTAGGATTCCCTAAGAA